AGATAATTGTCCATGTCAACATACACACACACACACACACACACACACACATATATATATATATGTATAATAATATATAACATTATATAATAATATATAATTTATTATGGCCAAATATATTATATAATAATAATAATATATGTATATATATTATGTATATTATGGCCAATTATTTATGAACAGCCCAATCTATTTTGTATATATTTTGTATATACAAATGTGTTTGTGTGTGTATTAAATATAATATTATATATAATAAGCTGATTGTAATAAGCTGGTGTGTGGTGGGCGTTCTGGCACACTATGGCTGCCGTCGCATCATCCAGGCGGATGCTGCACACTGCAGGTGGACGAGGAGATACCCCCTGACAATGTAAAGCGCTTTGAGTGCCTAGAAAGCGCTATATAAATGTAATGAATTATTATTTATTATTATTATAAATCTAGTTAATATATTGAATATTTATAATTATCTAATTTTGGACACTGATACCATATATAATAAAAAAAAATAATAATAATGAATAAAAAAATAATGTCAATTCATCCCTAGTCCTGAGGGTGTCCAATCATCAAATAAAAAAGACAAACCAATAAGACCCCTACAGTGTAAGTAGCAAAGTGGTTATTCCAAGTTTTAAGGTTAATCTTAAATTGTTGTTTAATTGAAACGACAGACAAACTCAATTTCACTCGATTTTAATGCTACTTCTGAAATACCACTTTCCACTTTCTTTAAATATCACCAAAAATGTGAACCTTCTATGCAATTAGAAAGTGTGTGCATGTGACCTTTACGTTTCTTCTCTGTTGAAGGAACTTGTGCTAGAAAATGTCTTAGTCCGCCAGCAAACGGCTGTCAAAGCCTGGAGAAAAAGGATTGCATTTCAATGATATGGCCCATTGATTTGAGTAATGAAAGTGGAGCCGCGTGCAGGGTCTGTTGCTCTAAAAAAAACCTGTAATATTGCACTGATCAAGTGTCTATGTGTCATATCCAAAACTTCATCTTATCCATCATAGCAGAAGTCACGGAACTGCTGCTGGACTGTCAGAAGAAGGTCTGCTTTTATAAACACCAGGGTTCAGGACGACACAGACGTCAAGATCCAAAGCTTCTGCTGTCTGTGGATATGATGGATTTGTCACATCCTTGCTTTCGCTAGACTTTCGATTTCAGCTGAATATCGGTAATTTAAGCTGTGCAGTCAGCTCTAAGTTTAGAGGGATTTGATTAAATATGTATGAATGCCTTCATCGAGTGCATATGTTTCCCAAGCCTTGGGCACAGTGGTCTGATAGTCTGGCAGAGATCATTAGCAAAAAATATATCCATCAGTTAGCTGCTAATGCTGTTGAGTTGTTCCAGCTCATGAAATGACTTCTAATTGCTGCATTAATACAACAAAGTCCATCAAAAACAAGTAGAGAAATATGAAACTTTTCATCGTACAAACCAGGGGGGTAGATTACACGGGGGACGTCCCCCGCACTTTTTCGGGCAAGTGTGTTCACATAGAGGTCTTCAAGAGCCGGTGTGAATAAATATAGATTTAAATTCAAAGAGACAGGATAGTCTGTGCATGATCTGATGTTTTATTCGGACCCAGAATATGGCGAGATGAACATCACAGAGCGCTAAACATTCCGTGCAGTGTATGTTTCATTCATACTCGTAGCCGGAGGCCGCTCTCGCGCAGAAAGTTGTATGAGGAAATTCCTAATATGGACAAAAGCGTCCAGCTATCACTGTAGGAAAACAGTTGTTTTCAGAAAAACAGAAACGTTTGGAAACATGAAGACATTAAACATATGATTGCGACAATATGTTTTATTTGTGTTTGTCAAGTCATCTCCAGGTAATAAATAAAGTATATGAACAATGCAGTGCTAACTGACATAGCATTTATTACAGTATTGAAACTATTCTGCCTGATTATGTGATAAAAAAAGTGTTTGTAGTATATAAACAAATCATTGGTTATTGTCCAGCAGTTATCTGATTTCTAAGCCAATTAAAAGCTAGAAATGAGAGAAAAATTAAAGTTGACTATACACTACGAGTCAAAAGTTTTTGAACAGTAAGATTTTTTATGTTTTTTAAAGAAGTCTCTTCTGTTCACCAAGCCTGCATTTATTTGATCCAAAATACAGCAAAACAGTACAATTTTGAAATATTTTTACTAGGCTATTTCAAACAACTGTTTTCTATTTGAATATATTTTAAAATGTAATTTATAGTGATTTCAAAGCTAAATTTTTTTGCATCATTACTCCAATCACACTATCCTTCAGAAATCATTCTGATATTCTGATTTGCTTTTCATAAAACATTAATAATAATAATAATGATTAAAAAAGGTTTCTTGAGCAGCAAATCAGCATATGATAATGATTTCTGAAGGATAGTGTGATTGGAGTAATGATGCAAAAAAATTTAGCTTTGAAATCACTATAAATTACATTTTAAAATATATTCAAATAGAAAGCAGTTATTTTAAATAGTAAAAATATTTCACAACATTACTGCTTTTGCTGTACTTTGGATCAAATAAATGCAGGCTTGGTGAGCAGAAGAGACTTCTTTATAAAACATTAAAAATCTTACTGTTCAAAAACTGTTGACTGGTAGGTTATATAGATCAGTGTTTCCCAACCTTTTTTTAGTCGCGGCACCCTTTGGAAATTTTAACAAACTTGTGGCACCCTACAAAATGAATTTTGTCACAATATTTGAATTTCTAACTTCGATATGATAATTTGAAAAGTATAGATATTCGGTACAACAGGGAAGAACTGCAGAATATAATGTCATACAGATATTTTTAATATTATTAAAAAAATTGTCCATCAATGGTGGCAATCAGTAGGCTAATTTCTAATGAAGAGACCAATTTATATGACCGTTTTGAATGTAGGCTTTTATACATATGTAAACATTATTTAATTACCATTATAACTAGCTATCTCACAAATTTTTTCACATATTTAAATATGCATCGGAGTGGGCTTACTTGTGTGTGTGTGTGAGCGCGCGCATCGGGTGGAACTCCGCTGTGCGTGATACAGAGAGCGCGACCATAACATAGAGACTGAAATGACATGCCGTCGTGTAAATAAGATAAATAACATAAGGCTATTTGTTCTATAAGAAAGGTAACTTTAAATGACTTCTGTTGTGATCTGGCGCTATAGAGAAAATATAATTAAATAAAATTAACTTGACCTTCAAGGGGGCCATATTAAAATAATGGCAGGGGAAACACTGATATATAACATTTCTGTCCCCCTCACTTCTGAAATGATGGCTACGCCCCTGGTACAAACAATACATGTTCTAACGTTTCATTACCTGAAAAACTCAAATGAAATGCAACAAAAGCAGTCGATAAAGCAGTCGATGAGCTGATAAGGTTTGTGTAAAACAATCCAAAAAGTCATTTATTCCGGAGTTTCTGCACCAGATAATTTTAGAAGTGTTTGTATTTGATGCCTTGTGTAAAGTGGCTGCTGTCCATTACTTTACTGAGACACCAGCACCATTGATCGTCTAAGTCAGCCGTGTATCATGATGAAATTGTCTCTCAGTCTGCTGTCCAGACTCGAGACTAATTGTTTTGTTGGCAGTGGACGTGTCTACATAATGTCTTTCATCTAGCAGTGAAGTTTACCACCACAGGATTGTCTTTCAGTGATCAGTATATGGTGCGGCCTAATCAATGTTGTGTGCGAGTTTGTTGTTTCAATGTTTTAATGACAGCGCTCACATAATTAAAGGTGCAATAGGTGATTGTCTTCAGAAAATGTTTTTGTTATGCTGGTTGAAAGTCTCTTCACATCATGATAGCAATCATTAAGTTAAGTGCTCTAAATGTATTTATCTGTATTTATATATTCTGTGGAAGGTGTAGGACCAAGAAATGTTCGTCCAATCAAAACGCTTGGTCCGAGCATTTTAATTGGCTTTCCTACCTGCCTGTCAACGTATATATTTGCATACCCCTACGCACCCCGTTCATGCAGACAGGATACGTCATCAGCGCATTCACGCATGCTGTGCAGACCCCTACACAATGTTCATTGCTCCCTCCTCCCTGAGCAGGGGAAATCTGTTGACGTTCACTTCAGAACATTCATTCACGGATTTGTGCTGCGCAGCGTTTTCACACACATCACACTCACCCACACCCGTCTTCAAATTGGGAACCGCTGATGCAGCCTATTGTAGTAATGTTGTCTCTGGTATTCTGATCTTTGAGCGTATATGCATTCAGGGGGCGTGGCTTTGGACGGCGATTGCAGGGAGGGTGGGACGTTCACTTTCAGTGCTAACAGGCTAAAGTTAGCATTTTCCAAGATCTCCTACTGCACCTTTAATCATACTAGAATCAGGAAAATTGGAATGTGTTGTATAAACCACTTAAAATGTGTAAGAACATGATCATATTTACTTTGCAACTTGGTTGCAACATGGTTTTACCATGGTGATTGTCAAAAACATGGCATAAGGAAGTCTATACTAAGCTACGAAGGCCAAGCTAACATAAAAATTAGATAATTGTATTGGTCTCATGTCATTTTTTTTAAGAGTGTGTTGGAAATAATTGCAATTTAAGCTAAAAACAGC